GCTGCCGCCGCCGCTGCCGCTGCCGCTGCCGCCGCTGCCGCTGCCGCTGCCGCTGCCGCTGCCGCTGCCGCTGCCGCTGCCGCTGCCGCTGCCGCGGCTGCTGCTCCTGCTGCTGCTGCTGCTGCTGCGGCTGTGTGTCCACCGACGACGACGACGAGTATGATGCTGTGCCATTACTGCAGCCAGTGCTGCTACTGCCATCACCGCTGCTACTGTCAGAAGACGAACAGTGCTCGAAAACCAATGGTGAGGCACTCTTTGCCGTCTGTGAGTGCGATGATGCAGATGACGGCCACTTGCAAGAAATGACACCGAACGAGCCTTGTTTTAATTCCAGCAGGGTCGTTCGAGGTTCCTTGAAAAAAATTAGCATCACAAGCATTCCAGCCGCTCATTGCCGTGTTTTCAGGCCAACACATGGCAGAAGGCTGCATTTCAAGGGTTCAGCAGCCTAGCACTCTGCTCGGCAGCCAGCAAGTGCCAGTGGTCACTGCCGGCTCTTTGATGTCGGCGCTAGCGATGGGGATGCTCAACGAACATCCGTGAATCTCCAGAGGCCTGGTACCGCCAGGCCGGGTTTATAAAGATACGTAAAGGCAACGTTGCAAAGAGCATCGAATCAGGGTTCGTTCTGCGCTTTTCGCCGTCCGTTCAGGTCTGCGTCTCATCAACAAGGTCCCGGGCGCGCCCAGCACCAAGTCTTGGGAGTGTCCAGCTTTGCCGTGACGGTCGCGAGTCGCGAGTTTTGCTCAGAGCCGTAGATAGTCGAGTCCAGAGCGGAGCAGGAGCGAGTCGCCATGAGTCGGCCCTCGGCCCCCAGCCATGGTTTGAGGCTCTGAGCGGGCGCCGATGCGATGCGCTCGGCTCCTCCACGGGCTCCTCACTCCGCGCTGGCCGGAGCACTCCGCCCGATCGAGAAAGAGAGCCTCTGGCATGAGAGGACTCACGGCGAGGTGTCTGCCGCAGACAGAGCGCGCCTTCTCGCTGCAGGTTTGGCAGAGGACCTGGTAGCTGCATATAGTTACCGAGAGTTCGCCTCTTCTTGCAGTGGCTGTCTCTTTCAACGGTGTCGCATGGGTTCATCCCGATTCAGCAGGATTTCGTTGCTCCTGTCGCCGCCCTGGAACGCTTTGTCGAAGACTGGTCCTTCGATCTTGACGACCCTCTTACGCTTTCCCGCTTCCTCTTGGGCAAGCCGGAAAACCTGATGGAAGCCAAGGATCGTGTGACTCAGGCGAGAGACTGGAGGGCAAAGACCGACCTCCAGAGGATCATGCACGAGTGGGGTGTGCAGAAAGACATGGTCTGGGACTGGGAGCCACAAACTGACAGGGCGAAGGCCTTGGCTCCTCACTTCTTTGGCCGATGCATAGCTGCACGGACAGCCTCTGGCGGTCCTGTGATTGTGCTGCGGCTTGGAGAATTTGACCTGGCAGGGGCGGTCAGAGAAGACATGGTTGATGACCTCATGGACCCTTGGATCTTTTTGATTGAGCAAGCTTTTCAGGACTGCCGCTCAGTGTCATTATCAAGGCGATCCCTGGTCAAGCTCTCTGCTATCGTAGACGTGGATGGAGTGAATCTGTCGTGGCTCCAGCACATGTCTGCTCTTCAGCAGTTTTCCCGTGCCATCAACCGCAACTACCCGGAAATGGCGGCGACGTTGACCATTGTGCGGGCTCCCGTCATCTTCTCCTGGCTTTGGCAAATATCGGCACCCCTTCTGCTAGAGGATATGACGAGGTGCAAATCAGCCTGTAGGCCAAAAGGTCGGATAAGATTGAGGTGCGCGGGGCCTGTGAGCACACGGGTGCCCATCCCTGCCCCTTCCAGGCGGAAGTTTGCCATCCTGGGACACGACTTCGAAGCCGGCCTCGCGGAGCACGCGCATGTGGACCTCCGGGACCTTCCCGGGTGCCTGCGAGGTCGCCGATGCAGTGACACGGCGGGCTCAGAGGAGGCGCCGCCTCCTCTCTGCTTCTGCAGCGGTGCGCGGGCCGAGCTGCCCCCCAATCGCCCTTGGCCGCGGCAAGCTGCGTGGGTGGCTCGGGAGTTCAATTGCTGCAGTGTGTAGAGTCTTCACCTCTGCCCAGGTCAGACGAAGTTCGGGAGGACCCGTTTTCCCACGGTTTTCTCAGAGATCCTGACCACGGCAGTTAATCACACAGCAGGAGCCCATCGCAACGAGAGAAGCGAGGGCAACGGCCGTTCGCGGAGCTGCAAGTCTCTGGCACAGACGCTTGGCGGGGAAAACTGCCAGTCTGCTTGAGCTGAGCTACAAGAGCCATGTGGGTTTTGCCTTTGCCGAGGATGGCTCTGCAATCTCTGCATATCTCCACCCTGCTTTCTTGGGGTATTGTTGAGCCGCCAGAGTCTGTAGGGTTGACCCCACCCGCGGACGAAGAGAAATGCAGAGGGCTATACGGCAGTGCATCTTCGTTCGGTCTGCACGAGAAGCGGAGTTACAAGTGATGCGTTCCGTCATGGGTGCGTACGCCTATACTGTCGACCCATTGCAGCTGACTTTCGGCTCATCCGAGTGCCTCCGGCACATTGTAGTAGCTGTGTCGACAACCGACGCTATGTCTCGGTCCGGCACACAGAACTCCGTGGCCACACGAAGCCAGTCGCAAGTCTCGAGGCTGCTGTGCTTGATCAGCCTGGTGCTGACAGCGGATGCGACTGTCATTCTCGGACTCGCTTTCGTCGCCTTGTGCTTGTTGCGATGGAGAGTTTGGGCACGGAGGGCAACATGTGCAGGCCCGGTGGAGCACCAACACAGTCGAAGTTGCCCTCGCCCCAACAGGACGTAAAGGTTCCGATGGGGGAGAGTCTACCATGGCTTCCAAGCCGGAGGCATGAAATCCGACAGCGACGCGTGAGCTCTGATTTTTTAAGTTTATGTGCTTTGCAGGTCTCTGAACTCACTGCCACGGCTCGCATGACGGAGCTCCTTCGGTCAGCGAGCCTGCACCTCCAAGATGTATGAAGATGTCACGTGATGCTTCTGTTGAGATCGAGATCGAGATGGCGCCCTGCCGAGGCCCGTCCGTGCTGTTGCAGCAGCTGCTCCAGAAGCGCGCCGAGCCCAAGGAGGACAAGGCCGCGCGCCAAGCCGGGCAAGGGCCAGGGCTCTATAGACTGCACAGACCCGTGCTGTACTGCGCTCCGCGTCCGCGTCGGCCCGCAGGACCTTCCGGTGGTGCACGTGGGCCCCAGGACCGACGAAGAGATCAAAGAGCTCGTGGACCAGGCCTCCTCCTCCTCCTCCTCCGCCCTTCGGTCTGTGCTCGGAGCTGTGTTGCCGCTTTTCGCGAGGAGCGGATGTTGGCGTGGCTTCAGCTGCGCACTATCGCCTTCCTCTTCGTCGTCTACACCTGCACCGCCTGGGGCCCGCACGGGCCGAGGGGCCCTCGAGCGCCGCCGAGCGGACTCTCGCCCCTGCAAGAAAAGCGGCGCCGCGATGAGGTCTTCTGCTGTGCTGCGATCTACGCCTACCTCTGGAAAGACCCTCCAGTGGAAGTGCAGGTGCGGTGCACATGCGAAGCGTGGGGAGACTCTCACCTGTCTTATCTGACTCAGAAGGCGAAAGATGAATTGAGCGATGATTTCCAGTTTGGCATCTGCAACTTTTTCGAGGTCCGGCTTCTCTTTTTCGAGCCTTTTCGGTATGGCTGCACGTGTGCCTGAAGGACATGCACGTGACCTGCTTGAGTTTCTTCTGCCTGCCGTGCCGATGGGCCACTGCCTCAGCTCTGACTTGTGCGACGTACCTCTGAGGCAAACGTGACTCGCTTTGACCGGAGGCTGACACCATGAATGCCACAGGGATGCTGGGCTTCTGGACCGCCTTCCTACTGTTCTTCGCCATCAACATCCTTTGCTCTTGGGCGAACCGCTTCGACATTATGCTCGGAGTGGTGGCCGCTGGGATGTCATAAGTGCGGGAAGCAGAGACGGCTTTGTGGAGTTTCGTAGTGTCGTATGCAGCTGTCGGCAGCTGGCCCCTCCCAGGCATGGATTGCTGGTACACTCGTTTTTGCGTGACCTCTCTAAGTTGAGCTTCGGCCTCAGCCCGTACACATTTCTATCTCATTGTAGCGCCAGGTACTACCGGCAGCAGCTCCGGAAGCTCTTCTCTATCCGAAATGAGCCAACGGATCAGGTGAAGGACCGAAACCTCTTCGGAGACGATGCTGTCGGCCGGGATGCACGGCTGCGAGAGAGGACGTGGCGCTTTGGGCCTGCTGCTGCTGCTGCGCGGCGGTTCAGGAAGCCCGCCAGGCCGTATCGACCCCACGTTGGCTTCGCCTGCTGCCATGACGATGCGAGGTTCGAGCTGCTGGAAAGCTGTCCGAGGCCGGTTGCAGTCAGGACCTCCGGTCGCTGAGCTAGGCTAGACCTCGTGCTGTGCTTGCGGAGCCGATCGGCAAGTTTTTCTGCTGGCGTCGTGCTTCGCCGCCAGGTCTGAGACTGGCTGCTGATGCTGGTGTGGCATGCGCGGAGCAGACAAAAGAGCAAGCTCCGAGCGCCAGAATCGCTCAACGCATGCTGGCATGTAGCAGGAGAGGAAGCTGTACCGTAGCCTTGCGTTGGAGCTGCACATACGTGAGCCCAGGTGCAGATGACAAGATGACAAGACGAGCTGCGGTGTGCCTGCCACTTGTTTGCGTGCATCTTGTCAAGCTGTGTTTGGCTGCTTCGCATCCTGTCGGGAGCTTCGAGTAGTAGTTACGCTTCTGTTTCAAGAGGGATGCTGAATCAGCCTGCAATCGCCGCCGTTTTGCTGCCGTTTTGGCACGTGAAATAGCAAGCTCCCGTCCAAGGCGACGGACAGGACCCAGTATGCAGGCTTGTTGTAGCGAAGGGTTAGGAAAGTGACAATTGTGCTTGGTAAGTCCGCGGGTTGGATGTTGGGCAACAGACAGGCTCGGCACCTCACGGTCTGGAAGTTTTAAGATAGTGCGGCCCGATGAGCAAATATGTCCCAGAACACCGACAGGACCTGAAAGCGAATTTGAAGAGCCTGCAGTCGCGACTCCAAAAAAACATGCGTACGCTCTCCGTCGGCGAGGGATCTCGGCTACTGGGCCGTGGCCTTCCGAGATGACAGCCCTGGGCCCCCCCCCCAGCCCCCCGACCCTTCAGAAAAATCCTGGTGAAGTGCGCAGTTTCGACCCTGGAGATTTATCAAGTGCCGCACGACCTCCGACTGAGAGTACGACACTCCACGCAGTGTTTCCTCATGAAGACTGCCTGAGTACGGGGCAAGACTGCGCGCCGAGCTTGCTGAGAGCCGGTGTTTGTCGGCTTGCCTTTGTCGGGGTCTCGCTGAAGTCTGAAGCGTGCATCTCTACTGACATAAAACTGCACGATGTTGCACATGCTGTTCTGCAGGACGCCATGGAGCACTCTCACCGTGAGCTCCTGATCAGTAACATTCTGCCCGCAAATGAGGCACAGCATGCATCAGCAATCATCGGCACCCGTGGATTGCCGCAAACGCGATGGCTGGAAGCTTGCTTCGGAGGCGAAGAATGTAGGCGCCTCGAATCTCGCGAGATCGGAGAGTCAATGCCCCAGAAAGTCGAAGTGAGACATAGCCAGCTTGTTGAGGCGAGTACTGATCCATCTGCACAGGTCACATCAGCAATTCCAGTGCCATCATCATCGAAGCGGAAGCCTGCCGACAGAGGTTCCATTTGCATTGCCGTGTGGTTCTGTCAAGGTGCATGGAATGCTGTGAGGTACAAGCGGCTCCACCCCAAAGACATCACCGAGGATGAGAAGGACAGAGAGCCCAAAGCGCTTGAGCCACAGGCGGGCCGTCTGCAGAGCTTCATGCATTGCCTGCCCAGGACTACAAGACTCTCGTTCATACGATTCAGCCAGACAGGCACCTTATTCGGGGAAGGGACAGATGAGAGCTAATCATGCGCTAGCTATGCAAGCATCTCGGTCCTCGTGATGCCACAACTCAACTGTGTGGAAGGCTTTCAGCTATTTTCAAGAGCAAATTGGGTGAGGGTTCGTTCTTGCCCCAGTGTCTCTGAGTGCACCCTGTTCGTCAGTTCCCGCAAAGCCGTTCGAGGTGCAAGACGGGGCTCTGTGGCTTGAAGGAGGAGCAAGCGCGCGTCTACTTCAATGTGTGCGAGCCCGAGAAAGCACTTCCTCTATAGCTGGCCCACAACTCGTGCTTTTCACCTGCAGGTATGGCAAAAACGAGATCACCCCGCCAAAGCGGGAAAACATCTGGATCAAGTTGTTGAGGCCCGTGTTGCGCTGCGAGTAGCGACACGTGCCGCACCTGCTACGTACGGCGGTCTTCGAAACGACAGCCAGGCAGACGTTTATGGGCATTTTCAACATCCTCCTGTGGTCCTGTGTTGCTGCTGAGGTTCGTCACAGCTTGATTCGCCTGCATTGCTCCGCTTGACATCACCTTGTGCAGGTCGCTTTGATTCTCATATTCTCGGGGGAGTCGAGCAGCCTGGACCTCACTTCGTTGCACTGAGGGCTTGGAACTTGCAGCCGGTATTGGAGCCTCCAGCGGAAACGAGCGATTTTGCTCCCGTAGGGAGCCAGCAACTCTAATTCAGCCAAGTGTTGGATGCAGCACCAGCGACGCATGGTTCGGGGATAGTGTCGGATTTTTACCAAACGAGCAGATAAATCAATAGACACGCGGAATATTGTGGAGATATCAGCGGTGCTTAGTGCGACATCCCAGCCCGAAGCCGAAGCCGCTGCCGAGAGTGCCAGGTGCAGAGGCACCTAGCCTCAATGCCACCGCAGCTTCGGAGGTCACGTTGCCGCTTTCTGCGCTCTGCCGGAAATTTCGATCAATGTTGGATGGTCCTTGGCATCAGGCATTGGCGGCGCACAGCGAAGAGGGCCCCGACTACGTCACACCCATCATCCTTTCGTCGCGCTCCCAGTCAAGGAGTCACAAACACAAAATCTTGTTGAGACTTTGTGCAGCGAAGCGGAAGCCAGGTCTGTCATCGTCATGGCAGCTCTGCTCCAGTGGTACTCTGAGCTCAAGGCTCGAGTCGGAAGCCATCCGAGCCCTAAGAGTCACGCATCATCTGAATTATCTGCTATATTCATGAACTCCTTAGCTGAGTACTCCCCGGTAAACGCATAAAGCTTCACGTGCGTCGCTCGCAGGCCGAGTCCCAGATGGAAGCCATGCAGAAACTGCAGGCCCTGGCCCTGGCTCAGCCCCGCGCATCCCTGGCGCATCGCCGCAGCAAAAACCCCCCAAACGCCTCCCTCTCTCTCCCTCTCTCTCCCTCTCTCTCTTTCTCTCTCTTTCTCTCTCTTTCTCTCGCGCCGGCGTCCCTCGCACCCGCGTCCGTAGCTCTGAGGCCGCTGCCAAGGTGCCAGCTGTGCGCCACCCAAGCCGATTCGCTTGTCGCATGCGCTCTGCAAATGCGCAAGACAGACTGAGATCGGAGGTACGCATCGACAAAGGCCGCCGCGTGGACTTGGAGGTGGATCCTCTGCATCTGGTCCCGGGCGACATCATCTTCCTCCAGGCCGTCGCTGTCGCTTGCAAGCCGCCTCAAGTCTGCGGCGCGTGGCATGGGCTGTCGGAGGCCGGCGATCGGATCCCGGCGGACGTGCGCATCCTGCACTGCACCGACGGGACCGAGGCTACTGGGGCTACGGCGGCACGAGGTCGAGGGAGTCCCCCGATCTCATGTTTGGGCAGGTGGACAACTCGGCCTTGACCGGGGAGTCGATGCCGGAGCCACGGCACACCAAGACGGAGCCGGCCAAGAGCTCAGGGATTTCTCCTTGTTTTGAGGGGAAGTCTAAAGTCCAAGAGCTGAGCCTCAGGTCACCTGTCCACCACCCGAAGCACGCAACCTGGCCTTCTTTGGAACAACGGTGCTCAAGGCAGGGAGTGCAGTTCCTCTGGCAGCACTCAGCAGCAGCCCGTGTGCTGTCAGGGCAATGCCACTTGCTTGGTGCATGCCACTGGCGATGCGACCTTCCTTGGTAAGATTGCACAAGGATTAGTCCTGACAGATGTGTGTGCTTGTTGTCAGCTTTTCTTTCTGCAAGCCGGCTTCCTCGGTTGCCTGTCAGGAATCAAGTCGTCGAGGGTGAAATCGACTCTTGAGATCCAAATTGAGCATTTTGCCCCGAACTGAGCATGCCGTCCAGCAACCAGACAGCAGACACAGATTGTCTGTAGCATGTTGTGGGGTGCATGTTTGTTACTTTCAGGTTCACATCATTGCCGTCGTTGCTATTTGCGTTGGCCTGCATCTGAAGTACAGAAGCCGGGCCAAACAGTAGCCTCATGGCCCTCATGTCCACTCAGGCTTGTTGAGCTTGCTGGCCAACCTGCTTTCTCCCGTGAAGCGCGGACCGGCGGAAATTCTTCAAAACAGCGCTGCGGCACTCTTTGCGCAGGCATTGCTGCAGCATGCTCACTCTCACCGACTCACACTCTCCGGTTCAGATTCACTCTCCGACTCCCTTTCCTGCAGGTGAGTCTGTTTTTGTTTCGTTCGCCGGCATGCAGGTCCCGGAGGGTCTCTTGCCAACCGTGACCATCTCTCTCATGATTGCTTCGGATCAAATGGCAACGCGAAACGCCATTTGGCCTGCATCATGAAATTTCCTGTTTTCCGTGACTCCGGACATGTGGATGCTGCGTCTGCACCTGTGGCCTGTGGCTTTATTGAGCTTCCAGGTTATTGTTCGCAAGATTGACGCTGTTGAGACCTTGGGGTGCGTGTCAGTGTTCTGCTCCGACAAGACAGGCCAGTCGCTTGCTCGCTCATTAACGACTGGGACATCTGAAGCAAAGCAAGTGGATTCAATTCCAGGCACGCTGACCACGGGCGAGATGGCTGTTCAGGCAAAGAACTCCGGTTAGATTGTTACATTCTTTTCTTCCGCAGCAGGGTGCAAACAGTCCTTCTGGAAGGACTTGGTGGTGCCGATAGCTGGAGCAAGTCTGAACTTGGAGGTTGTCCGACCTTTCACTGCCGTGCTTGCCGACGACGTGTGTTTGGCCAGGTCTACAACCGTGACAAAGACAGTGGACAGTTCAAAGCCATGAAGAGCTTAGAGGCAACTTCGGTCGACGGCTCAGCTGGCTCCAGCAACAACTTTTGAAATCTGCTTTCTCGCGTTTCATGTTGCACGTCCTGCTCAGCTTTGCGGAATTCTCAACAACGGCGCCGAAGTCAAGGTCCGGTCCCTAAGTGTCTTAAGACGCTTTTCTGTGCAGCTTGTGCCTTTGCCTTTGGTGAGGTGGAGGGTGGGCAAGAGCGGTGGTCCGAACCCTATTGGCACAGCACGGGCATGTGGCTCCCTACTCGTAGTGGGCCTGCAGCCTTCATGCGGTTCTGCAGAAATCAAAAGATGATGGCAAACTGAGGACTGGATCTCCAACGGAGGTTGCCATCTTGCGTGCCTGTGCGGAGGCCGCCGCGGGTTGGTTCGGACGGCTGTTGTTTCAGAATTTCGGGGGGCTCTGTGCGGCGCCACTTGGAGCTTGTGGCAGGTGGCCGGAGGCCCCGGGCCAACGGCGACTCTGAAGTCGAAGTCGGACCCTCTTTTTCACGCAAAGGGCACAGGCAGTCTCGTGGAATCGCAAGCTGCAGGCCAGAGAACTACAAGGCTTTCGAGATTCCCTTCAACTCCGAAAACAAGTTCGGACCTTCTACTTGGAGCGGGTAGGACTGTGTCCGAACTTGGCTGCGGCTGCCGAGGTGGATGCTAACCGTCCACGGCAGCGCCGGCCAGGGAAGCTACTTCGCGGTGCCTTTTCCTCTGCTGAGCTTGCTTTGTGCTTCTCGCAGCATGCCCAATTTAGCCCTCCCTCAAAACCCACAACTTCAATGTGCTCATCCCTTGACCCTGCGCAGATCTTGAAGGGAGCTCCAGAACGTGTCCTCAAGTGCGCTTGGGGATATGGTCTTGTTACCATGTAGCAAGTTGGAGGAGGGATGGTGCGGAGGCAGCAGCTGGAAAAGACAATTGAAGAGCCAGTGAAAGTGCTGTGCTAGCGAGAAGACAGCATGGGTGCTCGGGACGAGGTACACAACTCTCAGCACAGACGCGACAGCCATGGGAAAGGCAGTTTCTGTGCTGTGACATGTTGTTTTGTCACCCGGGTAGTCGAATGGACAACGCGTTGACCCGTGACTTCCACAGATAAATCCGAGCCAACGGAACGGGAGCGTTTCTGCACTCCGCCAGATCGAGCAGCAGCTCCAGGACCTCATGGGCCAGGCTATTTGCTTACAGCTTTCAAGATCTTTTAAGAAGGTTTTAAGTCATCGATACGAGAGACCGATGCAGTGTGTGTCGCAGAGTTCTCTCTCTCACATCAGTCTCGGTGATTCAACACGGTGGCAGGGACGGCGCGTGCTGTGCATTGCCAAGCGTGATTTTGCCGGTGGCGACATTCCCGCGGTGCGCTATGTACTTCATGATGCTGCCGGTGTTGTTGTGTTTGGAAGTTTTGAAGTTGTGAACCGAAAAGTCTCGTCAGGGAGGCAAGTTCGAGGGCACCAATGCCACTGACTGCAACTTCCCGATGAAAGACTACGAATTTGTGGGTTTGTACGGTATCGAGGAGCGCACTTCAGTGATGCCCCAGTGATGCCGCAAATGCCCGTGGAGACATGCAGAGACGGTGCTCCGATGCCTCAGGACCCACCCAAAAAGGGAGTGGACGAAGCCGTCCTCATGGCGCAGCGGGCTGGTGTGAAGGCACTATGAGGGTCATTGTCAACGTTGTAGCACTGAGCGCTCGGAGGCATGAATCTTCGAGGGTCTTGTAGCTTCTAGATGCTACTAGATGCTACTAGTACAAGCACGGCGGCTTGGAAGAACATCTTGAGCGGAGAGGGAACTTTGCCGTTCACAAGCACCTGGGACATTTCGTCAGGTGGTTATGGTAACTGGCGACCATCCCGACACGGCTCGTGCGATTGCAGGCGCGCTGCAAAGTTTGAGACGAATTCATGAGGTTTCATGGAGGTTTATTGTCGATGCGATGCCTTCCTTGAGGTCGCATCAACATCCTTGGCGCCGCTGCTGACGACACCCACGAGGCTCTACCCTGGAAGGTGCTGTTTAGAGTTGGTGCCCTCTTGGAGCCAGGCCCAGCAGCTCCAGGGAGAGGACTTCTCTGTGATCACCGGAGCCGGCAACTCATCTCCTCGCTTCGGATGCCAATGAAACACGCCTGCGTTCTCTACAGGTCATGTTGGACAGTCGTATCCCACGCAGCGATAACTTCACAGATGACGAGCCCGAAGACAACGTGAAGTGGTGGAGAAAGGCGCAAGCAAACGTCGACACGAGACCTGCTGAGCAGCTTGCGACACTCAACAGCGAGATCTGATGAATGCAGTGAGTGCTGCATTATGCTGCATTCCTGAAGCCAAAAGGCAATGCAATTCTGTGCGAATGGTTGAAAGACAATGCATTCTCGGAGGCCGTGCAGCACACCAGGGTGTTTGCTCGTGTATCACCGATTCACAAGCAGGTCATCGTGCAGGCTGTGCCATGCAACTTGCAGATTTTCGGGATGTCCTGTAGCTGCCCCGTTCCCGTTGTTTCATTCACGTTTGAAGGCCTACCAGAAGTACGGATACAACGGCATTGGCGACATTGTGGCAATGACCGGCGACGGCGTGAACGATGCTCCGGCACTCAAGCAAGCGGAGGCTGGGCCTGGGTGCTTGGAGTCTGTCTAACCCGTTCCATTTTGGCCTGTCTCGGCCCCCGCTTGAGGCGTAGGATGGTGGGCTTGGTCTGAACAACGTAACTGGAGTTGTACGCAACAAGCATTTCCATTGTCCGAGCAGAAGGTGGCGAGATTGAGGGGTCCCGTACGCCAGTTCGGGGGCATCACAGACTCGCGAGTGAAAGTGGGCTCTTGTGTCTCCGGATCCCCAACGTCGAGCATCAGGAACCCCAGATTTGTGGGCAAATCAACGGAGACAAAAGCCTGAGCCGCATCCGACAAGCCGGGGTGGTGCAGTGGGAGCAGGTTTTCGGTGCATTTCGTTGAGCAAAGTGGGGCAGCGCGAGGTGGGCGTCGCGATGGGTCAGCGAGGCACCGAAGTTGCCAAGGCCGGCTGCGCTTTGCCTCCTTTCGCTCTCTTGCAAAGCGGCTACGGCTACGAGTTCAGGATGCTTCTGACATCGTCTTGCACGACGACAACTTCTCGTCTGTGGTGAAGGGTATGGAGCAAGGATGCGAGTCCGACAGATGAAAGCTTCAAGCTGGGAGCATTGTGCTGCGAAGTTGGAAGCGGAAGGACACTGCGTTTGCCGTTTGGTGCAGGACGCCTGTCAAGTGAGAACCTGCAGAAGTCCATCATGTACACGTTGTGCTCCAAGGCCTTCGACTCAGATAGCAGAGTAAATAGCATGCTGCAGAAGCCAGAAGCGCGAACCGATCGAGATCCAGCCACGATTTGAAAGCCGGATATCGAACTTGGAATGCACGCTGAGGTCCCGCAAGTCGCACCCACCTTCGGAGAATTGTTCGGAATTCCGCAGGTAGGGCTTGAGACGTCTCGAGTTCCAGTATGAAGGCAAAGATTTCCAAACTCTGCAACTGGGAGGCTTTGACAGTGGCACAAGTGCTGCTCATCGACATCGGTACGGATATCTGGACCACCGTTTGGAAATTTCGCCTGTGGGGAGTTTGCAGTGCAAGCACGAGAGCTCCTGAGAACTTGGGTGTTTCACCTGCGCTGCCGATCGGTTGCGAGGACGGCCATCGCCTATGCCCTGCAGCCTGCAGAGCTGGGCACTGAGCCTCTGGATCTTGCAGCCTTTGGATCGAGTTGTGTGGGCACTTGCTGCGTTGCTCTCTGCTGTTCGTCCGCCCCGAGGTCCAAGCTGATGGAGCGGCAGCCGAGGCATCCGCGCTACGAGAAGATGGTGAACTGCAAGGCCTTTTTTTGAAGAGTCGGAAGCCTTGTCGTCCTGTCGGTATAGCGGATAGCACTGCTCCTCGCTGCAGGTTTTGCTTTACAGCTATGGATACATTGGGCAATTCCAGATGCTCTTCTGCTGGCTGATGTTCTTTTGGGCTAGGGGCCGAGGAAACCATGCAACCGGCACCTCTGTTGTGCAGAGTATATATACAGAGCTGAGTGACAGATGCTTCAGACGGTGCCAGGCTACTCCTGGCATGTGGGACCTGTACACATCTGGCAAGAGCCCGAACGACTATACCGTGGAGGCTGCCTGAGAAAGCCCTGGTGCTGGTCATGTCATTTGAAGCCTGTGCCCCATAGCGCAGGATTTTGAAACTGATACCATGGGCATGACTGTCTACTACTGGACACTGGTGGTTGGTCAAATTGCCAGCTGCCTCAGTCGTAGACCAGACGGCCTGCGACAGTCCTGCCTTGACTATCGGAGTTCAGTAGAGTGCAGACTTGCTGATGTAATCAAGGCTGCGGCGGTGTCTACTACAACCAAACTGCAGAGCGTCTCCCGCTCAGCACGGTACGGAAGGGGAGCCCAGGACTCAGCTTGCCTTGCAGGTCTTTGGCCTGGGCACAACACCCTACTGCTTCCCGAACAACACGCTGAACCTGATGTTTGTCGGAGAGGCCAAGAGAGTGGAAGCAGAACGAGCACGCAGAACTTCGTCCCAGAGCATTCTTTGGGCTCTCAGGTGGTCATGGGCCTGGCCGCCATCTACTGCCCACCCATTCAGTCTGCTTTCAAGACAGGCACCGCGTTTGGCTTCTATCCCTTTCCACCGGTGTGAAGCCTCCAATCTCTAATCGTGAGTTTATCGGATGGCACAGCAAGCTTCAGCACGAAAGGTTGGATACCAATGAGAGCAGTCCTGCTTCCTTGGATTGCCTTTGCTGGCGGTGTGCCCGGTGTCAGTCGCCATGGTCTTGAGGGCTCAAAGCCGTCTTGCTAAGGCATTATTTTGGCAGATGAGATTCGTAAAATGGTGGCGCGAAGTTGCGACGAATCCTCACCTCGGCCGAAGCCTCGGCTTTGTACCGGGGGCTGGGACCCAGCATGGCATTCTTGGATGGCCTGTTTGTCACCGCTCCCAGGCCTCGATAGAGAGATGTTGAAGTCGGCTACGGCCCCGGCACAGTTGAAGCAAACGATGCCGCGCAGTGGAGTCGGCGTCATGGCATGCATATCTATGCACCAAGGCCGGGACAGTCTCAGTGCCTCCGCCCAAGGCCGCGGCGCCTCACCGTTGTTCGCCTGATTTCGCTTCTCCCAGCGAAACGCCTTTATGGCTCAAGATCACAGGGCCTTCTGCCTCTCCTGGTTGGACTTGTGCGCCACACACCAAACCAAACACATTCGAGTGGCATCGAGTAAAGCTTTCACATTTGAGATTGCATTTTCGGACTCTAGAGTTTTGGAAGTGCACCCGCTTGTGCTGGCAAGCCTGAGGCTGCCGGAGGCTGGATGGCATGCGCCTACTTCATGCGTGTTGCAGGTGTAATCGTGTATCATGCTGCATCGCTGCATCACCACATGGCTGTGCCGTCGGAGTCTTTGCTCGCTGCTCATTGCATAAGACCCGACTTAGCTCAGATGCTGTCATCCGAAGTCCAAGAGCAATCTTGTTGCACAGATGCTTACTGAACTGTATTCGAGTAGAGGGGTGATTCCTGTTGCAGGCCTCGCTGCTTTGTTGTCTGTACTTTATCCATGGCTGCCTTCGGCCCACGATTTTGCGCGAAGCTGGGGGTGGCCGCGGTGCGCAGTCGTGCTCAACGTCATCGTGGGTTCAGTCGCATGGCTGGCTACGTGCACTATTATGGGAAGCTGAAGAACCATGAGGGCATGCTCCGAGATTGGGCACGGAACGAGGCCTACGAGAAGGCATTGGCACGGGCGGCCTTAAAAGGGAAAACAGTGCTGGACATCGGCACAGGCTCTGGACTTCTTGCACTTTTGGCTGCCAAGCATGGCGCCCAAAAAGTCTTCGCCGTGGAAGGGTCGCCGGAGATTGCGCGCGTGGCCTCGCGGCTCGTGCGAGCCAACGGCTTTGCGGGGACTGTGGAGGTGATCCCAAAGCACCTAGAGGAGCTCACGGTCGAGGATCTCGGAGATGGGGTAGATGTCATCGTGTCCGAGCTTTTCTCTCACTTTTTAGTGGGAGAACTGGGCCTTCAGGCGGTGACCTATGCCGCCAGCCGCTTCTTGAAGCCTGGGGGCTTGATCCTGCCGGCAGCAGCTTGGCTGAAGCTCTCGCCCTTCGAGGATCCCACTCTGGGTGCCGAGCTTCGTGCAAGGCATGGCTTCTGGCAGAATGATGATTTCATGGGCCTCGACCTCACTTCAGCCGTTCCGTTGGCAATCGAGCAACAGATGAAGGAGCTTGTCCTGGACATCGTGGATCCTGACCAGCTTCTGGTTGCCCCGGTCGAATCCCCAGGGCATTTCCTGGACCTTGCCGGGGCGAAGGATGTAGAGGACTGGCGCAAGATCGACTTCGAGCTAAAGTTTCCCCCACGATCTAAGGATGCACTGATCGATGGCCTTTGCGGCTGGTGGGATGCAGCTTTCTGTGGCGACGGCATGGGCGAAGAGCCTCCCGTGTTATCAACTTCTCCTGCTGCTCCCCTGACTGTCTGGGCTCATTGCCGCTTCATGCTCAGTCGGCCATTGCGAGCAGCTACAAGGGACAAGCTGCGTGTCCAAGGCCAACTTCGATCACACAAGCTGAGGGAATCCTACACTTTGACCATGGAGCTCTGCAACGACAGCACTCGAGAGAGAGCCTCTGTCGGCCCAGTGGAGCTCAGCGACGTCTATGCCAGGCACTTTGCTAGGCCAAACCCCTTCCCGGAAAAGAAACAGGCATCCTCGCCGTAGCCAGGCTCGGCTGAGGACCTCTGAGACTTAGGGCTCACAGCTCTGCTGGGCTCGCCGGCCAGTCCTCGTACGTATGGGTCATGCAGCGCCTGTATCAAGAAGCAGACCATCCTTGCCTCTGCACGGCATCATTCGCCGCCGGATTGCCAAGAAGCTGCAGATGTAGGACGTCTAGGGGAAACATCGTGGAGGTCAGGAAGAGGTGTCGTGCGGTGCGGGACGAAAAACAAGCGAACGAACACGACCTCCCTCGTTGACCGGTTCCCGCACAATTAAATTGAGTGCAGGAATGTTCTGCTTCTGGGGGTTTTGCCTTCAGGCTTGGTTTTTTCCGGACTGGAAGGACACCGGTGTTCTGCATCAGCAAACATACTTCGAGATGCGCGACTGCACAGTGTAAGAACTAATGCTGGCAGAATGTGCTGATTATCCGTTAGCACCATCCTGTCGTCGTGCCGCCGACCAGGTCATGTGGCGCCGCTTGACCAGCAATGTACAGTCAACCTGCCTGCACTGATGCCGTCTCACCAGCAGCTGAGTTTAGATGACCTGTTGGGCCGTGCTGGCCCTGGCCTTCCCCGGCTAGACGCAAAAAAATGCACAACTCCTGCTTCGAGCCAGATGCGAAAAAGAGGCTGCGAGTCCCAACCTGCGAGGCTGCAGCTTGTACTGAGATTGAATGTCCATCCCGCAAATGATCTGGAGCATGGTTCCTATAATTGGTGCACTCAGCGGCTCTGGTGCCCACCCGGACTCCATCGTGGCCCCGAGAATTTCGGGCTCTGCAACGTGCAAAAAACCAGAAACGAGTATGAAATCGACAGGGGTCGACCGGGTGAGGCCTTCTGGTGCCTGGACACGAAGCTGCAAAGCGAGTGCTTTCCGGAATCGCAGCCTTTGATTACGCGCTGGCATACACTGCCTATCATCATCTATCATCCGAATGATGCTTGCAGAGTTTGAGCGCCGGTACCCTTCGGGGTCGAAATCCACCAAGAATCTGGAAAGTACACGTGGCTTCCAAGTGTATTACGTCTCACCATCTGCCGCCACTCTTACCATCCCTTCGTGTTTCGTGGCCAAGAGTGGGTGGCCACGCAGTTTCAAAGAAGAACTGCGTTTCTTCTCTCCAACTAACGAGCTGAGAATTTCAGCTTGACCCTCTCAGGTGCAGACGCTGGGCGCTGTGCTGTGTCATTGCAGTCGGCTGTTTCTGGCACAGCAGCAAACGCTGCTGTCGACGATCGGCCGTTTGATCTGAGATGCACTTGCAACCACTCGCGAAAGGTAGGCTGTGAGGTCTCTGTGTGTGCATTCAGGCCAGCTCACATCCTGAAGCACGGAAGTTGGAGCACCTGCCAGGTCGACGGTCCTTCTGAGAGATGTGAAGAGGAGGTGCTATGACCAAGAGGCAGCTCTGCGCAAAGTGTGGACACGTAATGACCTGTGCAGTAACTTGGCTGTAACTCTGTCTGGCCGGAGACATTGGCTTAATTTGCTTTTCAATTTTGGGACGTAGACACGCTGGACCTCTGGCCGGAGCCTCAGTGCAAACCTGCAATTCTGCCAGCTGCAGATCATCGACTTAGGCGGCCAATGTGCCGCAATGGCTGGCATCTTTGGACGGTCGTGCTCGGCCCTCCGTGATTTCCGGCCCTGCCTTGCGGTGCATTTGGAGCATGCACACAGTGGCAAAAGTACTGACAGCCGCTGCGTAATTTGAGGCTCTTGCTACGGAGCGCTGTGGCAGCCGGAGCCACAGACAAGAGCATAGGGAGCGTACCTTAGGGAGGGTGGGGGATCGAGTGCCTTAGGGAGTGCACGCCAGTTGAAAGAACACGCAACATCGCCTTCGTGGCTTACATCTTGTGTTATCTGGAGCCAGAGCTTCCATGCCGCACGTTCGGCAGCGCACAGCATTGGAAGTCTGTGTTGGCAATAGATGCATGATACCTCAACTCAAGTGCAGTGCTGCAGGCCGCTAAGCTTGCCGTATTGAAGGTGCGCTCCTCAGTAGCCTGCATCTCCAGCGGGAGCTGCATGGAGCTGTATTCCCTTGCGACATGTTAGTTGATGCTCATGCTGCCATGCCTTGTCGAGTGTGCGGAGGGGTGTAGGTGGGCACCACCATGGCATTGACAACTTCGGGCAGCAATTAGCTAGCCGACTATCCAAGCACACGTACGACAGCAAGGACAGAAGATGGGTTGGGAGGGCGCGCGCAAAGAACAAAGCCAAGTTTCTGAGTCAATGGGGGCGAGACATCTGCCGGCCCATTCTTCTCAGTCTTTGAAGTCTGAGGTCCAGCAGCCTTCAGATCTGTCTCAGTTCGTCGGGCCCGGACCTTTCGGATGGCCTTTGTTGCCAGCGGGCCAGAGATTCCCAGACTGCAGGGTGTTCGGTGCCTTCGGTGGCAGCGCTCCCGAGGGAGAATTAGACATAGCAGCCGCGCGCCTGAGCGTCTGCTCTGACTCTGTGGTTGCTGAATGTCTGATCGCTGGTGAGGTTCCTCCTGAAGAGGACAGCATAGGCTGCTCAAGCTACCAGCTTCCGTTGTCAACGAGGTCGGTCGGACATCTGTGTGAAGCACAGATGGCCTTTTTTTCAGCCCACCGCCTTGTCCAGGAAAGTCATAAGCCTTGCCCGTGCCTCGCATGGCTGCCGTCACTGCCAAACGTGGGAGAGAGCTCTGCTCCGGCTCAGGTGCAACGAGGCAACTGCACCTTTGTGGACAAGGCCCGTGGCCCTTGGCCGGGCCGGGGGCGTGAAGACAGCAAAACGTGAAGCGGCATGCAGAGGCACTGAATGCACAAGAAGCAGGTGCAGCTGGTCTTACGTTGCCTTATCACCTTCTATATCCCCGGCACAAGCTTGGAGCACAAATAGTGACAGGCGCTGCTGGCATTCTGGTGGCCTTTGACACAGACCAGGCATGAAGCATCTCAGCATCTCGCTCTTCATCTCGTTCAGTGAGCATTTTGCACGGAAGGTTGCCGAAATGGGCGGCTCGAATAGTTCTTCGGAAGATCAGAAGGACGATCGGGACTTAGGGTCCTGGATGTTAGCATTCAAATCTGCGCGAGGTGCGGGTTTTTGCCGTGGCGATCGGCAAGAGCATGGGGGCCAAGATCTCCAAGCACCTCAGGCCACGTCATTCAGCAAACCAGAGAACAGGTACCAGCAACATGAACCTATCTGAGGGTCAAGGATAACACCATCGGGTTCCTACGCTGAAAGTTAAGGGATGCGGTAGCTGAGGTCAGAGATGAGGGATTGATGGCTGTGCGCGCTATAGGAATGCCCATCATCGGCGGCTCCCGCTTTGGCACCTGGCGCATTTTCGACTAAAATCGCATGGTCCCACAGTTCCGCACCGGCCGCATCTGCCGGGGACGTTCAAGTGACTGTGATTTCCTCCACCTGGGCGCTCGCATCTATGATATGGGAATCGCACACTCACTGGGGTGCCCGACGAGTTCCGGGGTGCTCACGCAAGGGTGTTTTGCGCATTCTGGTTCGTGGGTGGCCTTGGGAGAGTCAAAAGTGCCCCCGGAGCGGTTCTGCACTATGTGGGGCTTGGCCTCCCTCTGGTTGTTGTCACTGAGACATGTCAGAAGTTGCAATGACATGCTAACTGAAAGAGACTGGGACCCTGACTGGGAGAGACAGTGAGAACAGGAGGGGCGTAGCCATTTCGGCTCAAGCTCTTTCTGCTCGGTGATATTGTCTTAGTGTCGACGAGCAACGACATGGAGATTTTCGTGGGAGGCTTGCTCAGCAATGCGGACCGCATCATCGACAACGAGTGGGTGGAGGTGATGCTTCGAGCAATGTCTTGAAACGGTGTCGAAACTTTCCACGAATCAGAAGGCCAGAGCGAAGCCAAGGGCGAAGAACCTGCAGGCGCAGCAGGTGGAAGTCACAACACGGTGGCTTTCCAACCGGGAGCCTGATGCTGACGGACTGCATTTGGCCAAATGCGTCGCCGTCGCGTGGCAGTGCCTGGCCTCAGACAAGGTGGCCCGCAAGGTCAACGACCGCGAAGTGTCGCAGAAATGCCGCCAACAGGCCCGCCTGCGCGAGGAGGACCCTTTCAAGGAAGAAGGCGGATCGCTTGACGCTAAGGACAGCGGCGGGCGAAGGTCAGCCAGCATGGCCAGCCGTCAGCGGCAAACGCTGTTTCGAGGCCTTCCAGGATTTGCCTGTCACAAAGGCCTCGCTGCCACCATGGCTGATTCGTTACAGGAGGGTCAGAAGAGCTTGAGCTGCGCGCATCAATAGAACGTCTTGGCCAGCTGTGTTCCCCTGAAGCATTTTTTGTTGTGGGCCACCTTTGCCTGCACCCTTCGAGATTCTGAAAGAGTTGCTTGTCATGCCGTCATTGATGCAATGATCAAAACGGAAGTAGCTGTCTCAGATGCCACGCAAATAAATGGCTAAGATTGTCACAAAAAATGCGACCACTCTGACTGCCCGACAATGTCGGCTGTGTGCATGCAAGAGCACAGTTGTGCCAAGAAGTGTCACAGTAGTAGCAGCAACGGTGCACATGCGTTTTTTCTCGTGTTTCAATGCACGAGTAGATGATTGCTGACTCATGAGTCCAGATGTTGATATCCATTTGGGCCATCAAACATGTTTAGTTGCTTATCACGAAAGCTAGCTTTGTGGAGCTTGCGGGAGTTGTCGTTTACCATTCACATAGTAAGAGAGATCTAGGTCAAAAGCGCACCCACCATGTGGTGCCCCTTTCCTCTTCTTACCAGAAAGAAGGTGCCATCAGAACAGATTACACGTGCATGCCTGCGCAGCATGCAGCACGCTGAGGTTCAGGCGCAACGGCATGCACTAGAGGTTGAAGCTCAAGCACAACGCGCGGTACCGAACACACAAAGCCAAGCTAGCGAGTTCGCGTTGCATTGTGCATCTTGAGATGCTGTCTTGCAGGCGAACCGAGAAATCGACATGCTTCGCCAACTGTTACAGCCGAGAGATCAAACGATCGATCGGTTGACGCGCGAAAACACACGCATGCAAGCCAACAATGGTGCGGATCATCCACCAGCAGCTTCGAGACCCCCATTGCTTCCCTCACCTTCTGCATCTGGCAACTCGCCATCACAAGCTCCTCACATCGAGTCTCAGGGCTCTGTCGCGTCAGAGCTCCGAAATGAGATGCGAGAAGAGCTCCGTCAGAGTAGGGGTAGAATGCATGAAGCAGCTGCCACCATGACGCAGCAGGTTGGTGAGGCCATGCAAACCATGCAACAGCAAATCAACGTATTGACAGCGCAAATCGCTAGATCATCCCATGGATCTGTTGTGGGCGTTGCGCCCGGCACATCAGCACATGCATCTCGCTTGTTCTTGTCCGTTTACCGCATCTTCTAGAATTAACAGTGGGGGGATGCAGCCTGCTGGAAAGCAAACTGAATTGGTCCAGCAGCGACTGCTGTACCTTGCTCAACAACGAGGTCATGGACTTGCTGCCAGTCTGCGTCCCTGTATCCCCTGCGCACCTTCACCACCGACAATCAGCTAAGCTTCCGCACAGGTCCTGCCACCCCACCAGTCTGAGCGAAACAATTGCAACATGCCACAACCTGCTTTTTGCAGTCGTTTGCTCTAGCTTTCGTAGCCCAGTTCTCAAGTCAAGTCGTTCGACCACCGCTCGTTCTGTTCTGCTTTACAAAGATATCCGCCACGAAGCCATCGGAGTACGTTGCTGACACCGCGGACCAAGATGGGCCACTAGTATGCAGGGTTGGGGCACCACCTGTTGTTCCCAAGCCTGCAGCAGGCTAGGGCAAGAGAGAGCGCCTGGCTTTATTGTGTGGGCATCAGTCGCTCCTCCTTCCCCAGCCCGGTGAAAGAAAGCGGGGTGGTGTTGTAGCTGAGTGTATTCTGTCCGACCGCAAGACTGATTCGTGGATGTCTGGCCGCGATGATGCCCTTGTAAGCCGAAGAAGAGTCGCTTGAGAACCAAACACCGCGCTCTGGAAGACACGCAGTAGTTCCTGAGAAGGCTCATGAGGGTGGCTTTGCAAGAACGATGAATGTCGGACCTGCAAAACAGTCTCACAGCAAGGTTCCCACGTGAGCCCTTGCAGCATGTAGACTACATGGGTTCGAGACTTGTTTGTACCTTCGCAAATTTGTACTTGCAGCGCACACCGAATGCTGAAGATACACATCTGTATTCACAAAACGTGTTAGAAGCATCTAACTATGGGTGAAACGGTGCTTTCTGGCGTCCGAGACTTGAGCGTTGCAAGCCTGGACAACACAACGCTGCTTGAGCCCCTTTCTTCGCAACGGGCTTTGCAATTGCCAGGTCCTTCCCGCCAGATCCCGTCGCTGGCTTCTCAAACCGGGTAAACCTGCGCAGGGAGGGCGGGTCAGCATTCGTGCGACGGCAGTTGGGGGGCCAAGGTGGTCTCAGTGACTGCTTATGAGCCTTCGGTCATGAACTTGCTGCTCCGGCCTGGCTGATCTTTTTGAGCCCGAAGACGCTTGGGCTTGGGCTTGGGCTGGTCGCAAGATGTCGGCAAGTTGCCAGGTCGGAATTCATTTTGATCCTCATCGCCACCGGTCTCGTCGCTGCCAGTTGCCCAGAGCCAGAGGGAGATGAAGCCAAGCGGAGCTGACTGGGACTGTGCCGGGACGAAGGCCGGAACCGTCTTTTCCACAGCGGACATGCGGCAGACCGGCTTCGGTTCGGCCATCGCGCCGCAGCGGGAGCCCCGGACAGAGCCTGCGCACCCGACTTTTATCGTCTCTGATGCAGATTGCTATTGCTCTCAGGGCCGAGGAAGTGCAAGAAGTTGACACCGTCATGGCGGAAGCCCCTGAAAGTCAGACAGGAAGAGACCACCTGTCATGCGAGATCGGGGTCACTTAGGCCGGTAGCTTCTGCATCGTTGGAAGCGCAATGCTCGTCTTCCTCTTTTTCTTCATGCCCCGGCCTATGCTTGCTTCACCAATCCTTCTTTGCTGATCTGCCTGTGCGAGGAAATACATGATCTATGTCATCATGTTCAGCTTCTGTGTTGGCCCCTTCCTCAGATGCCACATCTTGCCACACCGCTCTCGCTCTGCTGGAGCTCTAACCAGGTGGTGCCCTGTGTCTGGCACAGTTCATCGCTATGTCCCTGCATCACTACGTTGGGGAACCCGGCAGAGCAGTGAGTGGAAGCGGTTTCTCTTTGACTCGCGGGCCGAAGGTTCCAAGACTGAAGCACCGGTTGTTTGACCTGCCTCAGATGGGTCCAGTCACGGAGGCACGCCGCATTCGAGGATATGACTCGACTGCTTGGAAATCTGCTCCTTCACCGAGTCAACGACTCGCAAGGATCCCGTGCTGATGACACCTTGCGAGGGTTTTCAACTTTCGAGAACTACACTCAAAAGCAGCTCGCTGGATGTTCTAAGATTCGCTTCAGCCTCAGCTGGGCCAGGCTGAATGCATTGCGGCAGTGCCGGCGGTGGCACTGGCCATGCGCTTCGCTGAGTTTGGTTCACTGTCCTTCGATTGTCCTTCTCGCCCGTCCAAAGTCCATTGCCTATTTGAGTTTACAGACTTCCTCCTGCCCACCGGAGGTGTTGGTTCATCTTGAGAAACACCGAGTACGGATGGCCCTTCCAGGAAAAGGGACAAGTCAAAAGAGTCACAGCAATCGGTTGTTGAAAGACGTTCAGACTCGGCAGACGGTCTGGGATGCCTTTGGAAGGACATCATTGGAGCAGGGTTTCTTTGTTGGATGCAGCGGACTTTGAGGCTCCCGTGCCAAGAGAGGACCCGCTGGAAGACAGCACGCCGTCACACAGCCCCATCGCTACAGGTTGCCGAACCTCAAAACGGCGACCGTGCTCTTGACAGCGATGTTCTTCTTCGACATCTACTGGGCACAAGCCCCGAGGACAACTTTGCCTTGCGTACGAGCACCGTGCGAACCAGCTGAGGTGTTCATTTCGGTGCACCAGTTCAAGCAGAGCGTGATGGTGAGCGTCGCCACCGGCGCTGGGACTGGAGAATCGGTGCCCATGCTGATCAGGAGCAGACATCGGAAGGATCTTGCACACATTCGCCGAAGAATTGCGCTCCTGAACAGCAGGATACCACAGTTTGGAGATCCTCTGGGCGGCGATCGTATGCTCGGGTGCATGACTGAATCTGACGGGATGCGGGATCCATGGTGGCAGCCTGTATCCATGAGGTTTGGCGATATTGCTTTGCCGGGGCTTCTGGATGCCCGGCTTGCAAGGAGACCGTCGTATTCGCTAAAAGGGTAAACAGGGAGCCGTCTCTGAGTACGATCTGCCGGGGCATGCCGGGGCCCTCGGAATCCTTCAAGGTCTCCTACCTGCGGAGGCACGACCTCACGAGCCACCGGACCTTCTGGGAAGGCAGCCGGACCGAGCTGGAATCTCATCGTTCTGGGCATTCTTGCCAGGCTACTTTGCGCCATCTTTGTTGGGGTATTTCTGCGGGCTTTGCGCCTGAAGCTCAGTTTATCGACTCAGGAAGATCCTGAACTGACAGTGCTGAGGTCACCATCGCGGCCTTGTCTATCATGAAGATGGGCACCCCTGGCTTCTTCTGAAAGCTTGCGCCATTGATCTACGTCGCGTGCACCTTCCAATGCAGGTCAGCCCGCGTTGCTGTACCTGGTCCCGGGAACGCTGGGGACAACCGTCGTGCTGTCTCTTTGTCCCTGCCTCTGCATTCATGCCATTTACCTGCTTCTGCATGGTGTGGACTTCAGCTGCTTTAGGCAAAGGGGAACTGCCCGAAGCTCGGATCCGTCCGAACCAACCAGCTTTCGCGCTTGGAGCTGTGCCCCGGCCCCGTTGAAACTAATTTGCGAATGGAGGCAACTTCTTTGGGATGGGCTGCCCGCAAGAGGCTCTCGTCGATTGGAGGACCGGCCCTCACTCACCAGGCATAATTGACTTATCCTTGCTATGTGTGTTCAGAATCTCCTTCAGCGTGGCAGGAGGGGGGCGCCAACACTGCCGGGACCCCAATCAATGCAGAGACTTCGCGGCCCGAGCGTGCATCGATGAGCCTTGTGTAAGCCCTGGCAATCCCACTCAGCTTAATGCATTTGCATGGCTAAGGATGTCCTTTGATCTCGGGATTATCGGTGTGCTAGCTTTTTAGGTTCAGCTCTTTGAGCTGAAGCTTGTCTCACCTTTGCATCGATGTTAACAACGTTGATGCTTCTCGCATCTTTCCCATCGGGATTATGCAGGCTGCGAAGGTTGGTTCGTGAAGAGACTGCTGAATGGTTCAATTTCGGGTAGGGTCATCTTGGCCCTTTCGAGTCGCACCTTCGAATCAGCCAAGCTCTCCTGCACGAGCCCGGATCGGAGTTGCAAAAGAGCCGCCTGCTGTGGGCAAATTGGCAATCGCTCAGAGTTCAAAGTCGTTGTGGTGTTGCCATGTGTGTGTGGGGTTCCCTTGTTCCGTGCGCCGGAGGCGCGGCTGACATCGGGACATCGGGCAGACTCTTCGAGGCTTCGACGGCACAGGCGCCTCTGTTTTATCTGGCTCTAAAGCCCTAAGCAACCGAGCCCGAGGGACCGAGTGCACTGTGGGAGCAGAGGGCAGAGTCAGAGTCAGCATGATCGTCGAAGGAGATCGAAGCACTAGGCCACAGGATAACCCGTGCAGAACCCCTATGAGATGGAATAGTGGGGGTCTTATACAGGACCTCCACTAAGTGAGCTTTGGCGTTTCGAGACTCATGCCATACGTGAAGCAGGATTGGCATGGAAGAGAAAAATGTCACGGATTCACCATGTCAGGGGAGGAAGTTGTGGGTTCACCGTCGTGACGGTTCGTAACTACTTCTCCCAGTTAAAAGGCATGAGTTCCACATTTCGAGGAAAGGGAGTTATGAGTTCACTTGTTCGCGAAGGCATGCACTTTACCTCTGCACAAGTCGTGATCTTACCCTGTCAAGGCCATATTTGCGCCTTCGGTGTGTCGACGAAACCCGTGCTTTATGCGAACCTGTCATTTTTTAGACAGAGATGTTGTCTTAGAGGCTCTTACAAGAGCATGTGGGCCTTATTTGGCATTGCGAGCATTTCCTTGTTTCTTAGATTGATGTCGACGTGGGAGTCACTTTGCTCGGACCCTCAAAGCAAGTCTTCTTAGGAGGACATACTGTACGGGATGGTGTGAGGTAAGCCACACACAGTCGCACAGTTTGATTGTCCGAGGTACTGGTACATGACACATTCTGGCTCACAGCACGGCAGATGTGAAACCAAACCGACCAAACACTTGATTGAGACGCTTCGCCGATAGATGAAGTCTCCGAGTCACATTCATCCTACCAGCCGATGCTATAGTAGCACTCGCATCTGAATGGTTAAACTCAGAGTTGTTCTTGTCGCAATGATTTGCAAAAATGTAAAGCCAGCGCAGTAGCAGCCGTTTGCAGCTTCTGATGAGTGGCGGAGCGTTTTCACGCCCGCTTCAGGCCCGGCCAGAGTGGCAGGGTAACACTCCGTCTTGCCAGCGCAGTATTATCGTGACCTGAACCCCCGCTCTTCAACCCTTCGCATTGCTTTCTGCTTCAATGAGGCATAGCCTAAAAGCAGCACGAACCTCGTGAAACCCGCAGCCTCAGCACTGCAAAGGCCGAAAGCCATGGAAATGCTTGCAGCGGGTGTTGCTGGTGGCCTTTTCGGCTGATGAGCTGCATCTGCGTTTCAGGTGTAAGTCCATAGACCACATAGAGCGAGGCCAGCTTGGGCTGGATGGCCAATGACAGCCATGTGATGGGTTTTGGCTAGGTCTTGTCCCAACAATAAGAAGCTACACAACTGGAGCCGGAATGATTTCAGTGGCCTGAGGCTACAATCGAGAAAACTTCTTTTTCGATGGCGAGCGACCTGTCTGCATGTGTTAGAGGCCTCACCAGTCCATCAGATACGACGGAGTGCAGAATGGTTGCGCACCAACCATGTGCCCACTGCATGGATGGTGTTTGGTGCTGATTATCGTGAGGTTGTCATGCCATGCTCCGATACATGCCCTGGAAATCTCAGGCAAAGGATAAAGCGCGAGTACCAAGGTGGGCAGTCGTCTCCAGCATCGGGTTTGTGTGTTGCCAGTATGTAGCTGACGAGTCATTCTTTGATGGTGCCCATCGCCAATCTCAGTGCCAAAATTTTTCATGGGGAAAGTCGCGCGTGGAGGGGGCAGGGCGGAATGGAATGGTTCAAGGCTTCAGTGTTATGGTTGAACTTTCATACCTCCGTCCGCTCATTACACTCGCACCAGGCATGCACGAAGGCACATGCCCACATGCAAGCACACGCACGCACATTCATGCACATTGCTCCACGAAAGATAACACAGCAGCACCCGTATGTGCATATCCTTTAATGGGCATGAGCAGGCAAAGGCGAAGACGGTATCGCAAGTCCACAGAGTCAGTGTTGAACCAGCACGGCTTCCGCTGTCCATGGCTTGTTTCACGTGTCGCCGAGAGCGCCAAGTGCCAGGTCAGCTAATGCGAGTCAAGCAGTTCGAACTCTTCAGAGAGGACATACGTGATTTGATGGAGCTCACGGTTGCCAAAATGGACAACTACTTAATTGTGACTCGCCTTCATGTGCTGAGCCGGTGCATGACATCTCCGAACTGAACCGCCTTGAGTAGCCTAACTGGATATCGGGGCCTGGCCTGGCTAAGACGGCGCAGCTGAGGTGAACACGATCCAGGCCAGGCCCGTCTTTGCCGCCTTTGAGAGCATGCGTGAGTTGTCTGGGTGGACTCCCTCACTCCCGCACTCTCACTCTCATCCTCACTCTCACGCTCACCCTCACTCCTCACTCCTCACGCCTCCTCTTCACTCCTCGCACCTTACTCCTCACTCCCTCTGGCCGATCCACGTGAGCAGCCGTCACCCTCATCCTCACAATCACCTGGGTGAAAGATTGGGGCCGTCGCACGTGCTTCCCCGTACCCTGGAGATTGGTCTCGTCGTGGTGCTCTTCACCGAGGGACGTCCGCTACCTGGCGTGTCTCCTCCATGGCTGCTGTTCTTGTGCCATGGCTGCACTGGGCGCAAGGAGCACTCTCCAGTCGTTCAGCGCGCCCATGCGACGGTGCGCGATATTTTACGGCATCTCCCAAGCTTGGCGGCCTGCTAATTCGTCCAGCCAGCCTCGTCTGCAATCCACGCGAAGATCGCAAGCGCACAACTCTTCCGACAATTTCATAAACTTCACACAGGTGGGCAGCCACCGGAGTTGGTTCGATGATGCGCTTTGCCTGCAGTCATCTTGACGTGTACTTTAGGCAAGAGGAGGTAAGTTTGAGGTGCCTGTGCACAACAAGCTGGTTGTCAGGTACATAACACTTTGCATCTGGTGACTCGGCGAAGACGTCAGTTCACCGCAGCTTTATATGCAGATAAAGCTGGCACCTTGGAGTTTTCGAGGCTTGCGATGCATGCCTCAATCTGCTCCCATTCCTTCTGTGTGCGGATGCTGACGCCACTCGGCCGAGGGACCGCTTGTACTGACTGCACCTGCGCACATCCGTGAGGCAGCTTGTTCGTTTACCCATCCCCAGCAAGGACGGCTGGGAGTCACACCACAATGCTCAAGTGCATCCGTCGGAAGCATGACATGTCAGGAGCAAATGGATGCAGCGCGTGTGCTGGCGACAGACTTCGAGGGTGCTCAGACGAGGCGCAATGTGCTGTCAAGCAGGCGCTCCAAGGCAGCTCGCAGCCAGATGGGCTGTTAATTCGACATAGTTCGATGAGAGGTGCATGTGGCATGAGAACCATGAGAATCTGTCAAGTCTGCGGACATGCTTGGACTGGGCGGTGCTGTCTGTGCTCGTTTGCAGGGAGATGTTCCGAGTACCGGTGGTGAAAGAGCAGCTCAAAAAGCCTCTCGGACTGGAGCAAGAGTGCATCCCGAAGTGATTCCACATAGGGCCTACAGGGCATGCGGCCGCTCGGTGAATGGACCGCAGAGGGCGGCTGTGCATTCAACAACATGTCTAATACACGGCCTGTGATCAAACTAGAGACGTTCGAGGCGACACCTTCGCCCGACTTGGCTTATGTGCCACTTTTGGGGGTCCACCTTTTTTCAAGATTGGTGCCGAATTGTTCGACCTGCCTTCCGGAACCTGCTATCTGCACGCATCCGTTCGCCTTGTGCTGGCATGATCGCATGACTGATGCATGCGGACGTATGCAGTAGATTCGCCAGGAGGAAGACTGTAAAGTGTGCTGCTGCGAGGTTGCAAAGAATCGTAGATCAGGATGCCTTCGAGGACCGGGTTGGCTCTTCTATGTGATATGGCCATTGCAGCCATTATTCTAGACCCTCGCGGAAAGCCATTGCTGTAGGAAGATGCGGCGGATGCAAGCGCAGACATTTCCAACGATGCCGTGGCAGAGGCAGAACCAAAGCATGCATGCTGAATCTTTGTGTTGAAATCTTGTCTGGTTGGCTGCACACGGACGTACGCAGCTTTGGTTGAGACATGCTCAGCCTTCGGGCAGGAGACCATGCTGGACTCAGCGGGGCAGCCAGTGGCCACCGACACCCTCAGCCACGTGTAGCTCGCATGAACGTCAGGGGTTTGCTGGCATCTCCTAAATCAGCCTCCGGGTGAAGACTGTTCATTCAAAGAATGGCTTTCGCAACTGAGGAAGCTTTACAGGAGGATGCAGGCCAACTGGCAAGCCTATGACGCAACTCGTCAAGAATCAAATCTCGAGTCATTTGACTGCTTTGGAGCATTTTGGAGCATTTTGAACCATTCTGGGCAACTGCCATACCCAGGCATACGCACGGGTGAGCATGGCCCTGGGCACCAACCAGTTCCTGCAGGCGCTTCGCATAGCCCGCCCGCGAATTTGCGGGCATAAGACTGATAGAAAATAAAGAGTCATGCTAGCAGCTGCTAGCACAAGCCGTCCCCTGCACCCATTCTGGCAGCAACTTGGCTACACCTGCCTGATCGGCTTCGTGTCGGAGAATGGTTCGGTGCTGCCTGGGATGTGCGGCCCGTCTGCACGATTGGGCCTTGCCGACAGCCGAAGTCTGATCACTGCACATGTATGTTGCTTTCGGTTCCGCTGGTCGGGCCATCTCGAGCGAGGTTCGGTACTCATCTTCAGTGTGTGTGCGGCACTTCTTGTCAGACTGGACCTTTATGTGCCGCGAGCTTGGCTGTAGGGTTGGAAGGTGACCGGGTGGTGCGCCGTGACAAGCGAGGTGGTTCAACAACATTGGCACTGCGCTCATGCTTAGCAGCGGTCCAGTTGTGAGGTCGTCCTACTCGTTGATCTTGGCACTGGTGTTGAACACGTTTCTCGGCGCGACCCATGCGGGTCAGTTCAGGCTTACAGCCAGACTTGGTCGAAAATGAAAGACAAGGCTGCCACCCTTCATCACTGGCGTCTGCTTGATTCTTCACTCAGTGATGCTCGGCTGCACCTGACGCGTCCCTGGAGCTGCTGTCAACTTTTCATTATGAATGTGAGAAAGACCTGAGGCAGAACACTTATTTGAGATCCTTGCTTGCAAGGAGGAAAGACGAGGAACCTGTATTAGTATGAAGTTTACTCAATCCACGTCCCCTTTGAGCCGAACTCCGCACGAAACCTCTTTGGGTGCATTCTGCTTTTTGCATTCCTGAATGGCTTTGCTTCACACTCGTGCTGCGGGGGAGACCGTGCCAGCTGAGACCTTCTTGGCGACACGCTGGTACCTATACCAGTCTTCCTCCACATCATGTGGTCACTTGGCCGAGACGTGCCAGTTTAGCTCCGGGAGCCCAACATGAATCGATGCCTACGAGGCTGTTGGTGCTGCTTTTATGGGCGCAGGCATCTGGACTTGTGCAGCTGTTCCATGGATGGCGGTGTTTGGTGTGAGATGAGGAAAGCCACGACGATCACAAATCACAGATGGGACAAGATACCTGTGAATATAATATGTTGCTGGAGTCGAGGAGAGACACACTGCTCAAACAACATGCAAGGGCAAGACCATCAACGGCATTGCCCTGCCCACAACATTTCGGGCAGTGCTGGGTCCTTAAGTGGTGCCACCCCGCAAGATGTCTGTTGCACCCTTGTCCTTGCTTCTGCCTCTCTTCCTGCAAGGCTTTACTTGGATGTTTTTGGCTGGCTCAGCTCCTCACGTCAGGAGGCGAGAGCGGGCCTGGGACTTCCCTGAGTTTTCATCCTCTGGGATTCTTCTCGTCAGGAGACCTCCTGGACCCGTCAGCAAACTCATCGATCAGTAGAGGAGGCAGAACGCACCCTTCCGTGGGGCGACATCAGGATGAACGTTGGATCCATATCGTGTCATTAAGCGGCGAAAATGGGACGACTCGGTTAAGGCAGGTGCAGAGTTGCTGAGGTCGATGCTAATCTACCCCGACGAAGGGATCAGCCACAAATGTTGCAATATCCTTGAGCCAGCATGGTGTGTGTGTGTGTGTGTGTGAGACAAATTTGCAGCTCTGGATATGAGCAGGGGCTTCACGTTTTAGATAGGTTTGGGGAGTGGACATACGGAGGTCGGGGATGTACTGTGGCATGAAACCAGGAACCTCTGCCGAGCAGTTTTTGTCAGAGCCAGAGGCTCTCCTGTAACAGCCAACAGGAAGCTGCTGGAACCGGAGCCACGGCGTCTTTTCGCCTCAGCGTTGTCAGAGAAGAGGAGCTCCTCCAATAACTCCAATAGTGTAAGAAGAGCAAGATGACGGTGAGTGTGACATGTCAGGAGCCGCTGCATTCTGAAAATGTTCGTGTGCCCTTCCTGCCGAATCCTGGTGCTGAAGAAGGAAGACGTGGACTTAAGACATCCTTAGCAGCTTGCCAAGACTGTGCTGCCTTGCGCGCAAACGTGCCGTTCCGTTCACCGCTCACACTGCAGGCACGCCTTTGCCGGGAGTTGTGACTCGGCGGAATTTTCAGCAGATCCTCCAAAGCTAGTCTGGTCTGTTCTTCGCTGTTCTGTCAACCGGTTGAGCATGCTGCGGTGGCCATCGTGGCAGCCGCACTTGAGGAAAGCGGAGCTGCACCGTGACCTCTGCTGCTTCGAGCAAGAAGGGCTGGCAAGCCTCATGTCGGACTACGACAAGGAGGCCAGGCCGGGCAGGCGGCCGCCACCAGGCCGCCCAGGCCGTGCGTCTGTGCATTGCGGGCTTTGCAGCCCAGGAAGTGAAGGACATGCGACGTCTGATGGAGCGCTTGGACGCCAAGCTCCAGGAGGCCGCTCCAGAGACCGAAGAGGCCCAGTTGCCTCGTGTGACGGTCTGGCTGTTAGGCCTGTAGCAGAGCAGAACTTGCGAAGGTCACGCTGCCGTCACAAGCAGATTCGGCGCCTTGGACGCAGGCTCAACCTGGGCAAGGCCATGCTTGGCAGTGAAGCAAGGTCTGGTTGAAGCTCGAATGGAATACAGCTGGCCATGGCATGGCCTTCTATCGTCGAGTGGACTCCGAGGCCTCTGAGAGTGTTGCCGGCCAAGTCGTGTGGGCAAGAGCACCAAATGCTGAGAGTCAGGACACCAGCATCGTCTGGACGGAGCCGCCGGCTCCGGCGAAGATCCTCGAGATGCATGAAGTCAGGCCTGGCCACAGTGGGGGCGGGTGTGCCTCGTATCGGAGAGGGTTCCTTAAGATCTCCGGGTCGCCAAAGGCAGAGGATGGGGGGCTTGGAAGCCAAGGCTCGGGGCCTAGAGGCGCTGCGAAGACCTGACACGCGTCTCTCGCCTTCGTGTGGTCGCTGCGTCCAGAAGCAGAGGTCCAGATGCTCGCGTCGCAATTCCCAGCTCGGGAGGAAGAGGCCGCTGCGCGATGCTGCGCAGTTCTGTTTAGGGATCTGTGAGTCGGAGACTGAGAGGAGTCTATTGCTTCCGGCCCTTCTTCCTCGTCCTGCTCAGTGGCGCCTGAGCAGCTTTCAAGGCCGGAGGGCACAAGCGCAGCACCGGGCCCGGCAGTATGGGCACCGAAGAGTTGCATGCAGAAGCGGAAGTGAGAGCCAAAGAGGCGGCCTTCGAGAGCATAAGACCACAGATCCGGCGAAGCTGGGATTCAACTCGTCCTCGAAAATCCGCTTTGCCGCAGCTTGAAGCAGCCAAGCGTTGTGACACTGCAGGCCGGTTGGCTCTGCAAGCTCGACAACATCCGGCGAGGTCCCGGAGGGTTGGGCTTCGATTTTGTTTCTCTGATTTTTTTCTCGCCAGGTGGACTCTCTCTGGCATGGGGCGTGCCTCAGCGGAATTGGCTCTTTGAGAGTCCCTGCGAGTGTCGCCTCGCTCAGGCCGGACTTGGAAGCTGGCGGCCCGTCCTCGGCACAGGACCCCGTGATGCGGGCACATCCAGAGCATGCCCCGTGTCCCCAAATGCAGGAGACACGCTTCGGTGGCAGAACCTCGGTTTTATCTGGCTCGTCTCTTCTCTGGCGAGTCTTGTGGAACCTTTCGATGTTTAGCGGCCTGATGCTGACCTGACTTGAACATGCGCATGCTACAGTCTGCTTCGAACTGGTGCACATCGCATGCAGCCTAGGTGCATTTTCATCAGTGAGCATACATCTAATTCTCCGTATATTCACACATCGAGCAGGTCTCATACATTCGCAGCTTCTGCTTGTACACAAACTCAGACTTGTTGGGCTACGCCGAGGTGATGCAGCGGTGCAGCTCACCGAATCGGCAGCTGCACTTAATGAGTCATGTTCGAGCTGAGATGGTTGGACTGCGTGGAGACAGATGTGCTAGTTACGGTAGGAGTGCCAGAGCAGTCGAAAACCACGGAAGGCTTTGGGGAAGGTTTGTTTTACGGAATCATCCTCACTACAGTGCAGATACCTTAGGAGAGCCACGGCCTGCAAGCTGCGATTGTCTTCTGGAACAGTATGTCTGCCCTAAGCCTGGAAGTCCAAGATTCAGCTTCAGTCACACACACCATCACCAGAGGGTCCTGTTGCCTTCGACGTCCCTGTATCCCCGGTACTTGAACTATGCGACACGTGCCGTTGAGACCTCTCTAACCCATAGAGTCCCGACATCTCGTCGAGCCATTGCTTACATGTGGGACCTGTGGCATGCTCTCGTGATTGAGCTGCTTTTTCTAAGAGGCGCGGGCATGGCATTGAGCGTGCCGCTTGCAGAGATACTGCTTGGAGCCAAGGAAGTTCGGCAACGCTCCTTCCGACCAAACGAGGCTCCCACGTTGTGGCTCCAAAGGCATAAAGGCGGTACTCGAGCTGGTAAAGCAAGGCGGCTGCTGGAGGCTTCCATCCACATCGCGTGCCCGACAGTCGCGGTGAGCGTGACAGGCTGGAGCGTCTCAATCATGAAAAAAAGCCAATGCTGTGTGAGCAAGCGTTGCCGGCTGGACGACTCACCAGGCAGAAAGAGCCTGGACGTTTGCCTTGGAGCACTGTTCAGCAAGGCAGCCTTGTCCTGATCGCGGCCTGGTGTGCCCTCCTCATGCTCTTGAGATCGTCACCGCAGGAGAGAGAGAGGCTTCGACCATGATTGTGGTTGAGGTGCGGGATTCGTGTGGACGGTGCTGCGGTTGATGACGGATGTGGTGGACATCCTGCCGCTCGATGGAGAGTGTGCTTTCTTCTCAAGCGACAAAACCACGCCTCCAGCCAGGAAGCCACCGAAACCTCTACCTCCGCACCCGGATCTGGGCCTGGTCTTTGCCGGGCCATGGCCGCAGTTCTTCGAGCCCGAAGGCCGCCCCGGGCGCGTGCCGCCTGCAAGCGACAGACGTGACGCAATTTGACATGTCACCGGTCCCGGCAGGGCTGTCGTGCCAGATGGACGGTTCTCAGCCGATGTTCTGGCTCGTGGAGAAATACACCGTCGGGGGCTTTGAAGCGGAGATTGTCGAGCATGCGGCATGCATGTGTGTTTTGTTTGCATCAGGCCCGAAGCATTAAATTGTTTTGCTTTTCCCAAAAGGTCCACCAGCTGGTCGCCGACCAGAGCTGGACCCTTCGCACGAGTCCTCAGGAGGCCCGGCTTCGTTCAAGCAACCCCCACGACAAGCCCTCGAGAGCATGAGAGGATTAGGCGATAACTGTTTTCGCAGATGGGAAGACCTGGCCCGGGAAGCCGACATATGCGCGCTCTTTCAAGGGACTGCATTTTCTATGGGGCATGCCAGGGTTTCGGCCACAGTTACATAAGCTGAAGTAGTTTATCCGGTCGCAAGAAACCGGCTGGCCACCCCATCATACTACATCCCGTGCATTACGGCTGGAGTGTGCGGTCTCTCCTGACGTGTTGGTGTTTCAGCTTCGCTTCATTTCCGTGTTCCCAAACTTTAACTTCGAGCATGGTTTAATTCGCATTCCTCTTCTGTAAGCGATATCGAAAGAGCCCGGGGCGACAAGAAGCAAGGGCTGCAAGAAGTTGTGCAGACCTGTGCCGTCACGGGAGGAAGGGGGAGGGGGGTGCTTGCACAAGAAGAGCCCAGCACATTTTCGCTTGTAGAGGCAGCGTGCTTGTCCAAAGCACCAGAGCGACTTGGCTGCAGATGTTCGTCGGCCGCTGCATGTTCAAGAAGGTGTTGTGCATTTACTGTCGACAGCCTACCAAAGCTCCGATCAGAGTTAGTGCACACTGGGGCAAGGTTTCATTCCTCCGGGCTGCGTGGAATTTCGCTGCGATGCTCTGATGTGACTCGCAAGGAGGCGCGGCCCCAATCGTGCATTTGGGTCTTGACCTGCGCGCCTCCATGTTGTTTCTTGTTCCTTGGTTCTTGGCATCATCTAGGACCTCAATTCGTCTGCTCGTGCTGTCGGCAATCAACCATTTCTGGTTCGCAGTGCAGAAATCTCACCCCAGCAGCTTCTGCAAGGCTTGTCTCCCGATGCTTGTGGGTGTGGATGGCAACGTCCTACTCTGCAACCACACCATGCAAAGGCCGTATCACGATGGTACCAGTACATCTCGCTGTAGAGAAACTGCATGTGAACGCTCGGCGGTTTTGTTTTTTGGCTTTTGGATAGTCTGAGTCTGAGTACAGCGGGGGCCTCACATGGGCTGGGGTGTCATCTCGCAGGCTTCACTTGCGCGGCGATGCTTCCCACGTGGCCGCATCAAGCGATGCTTCCGGGCTTTGGGCGAAAAGGTCGAAGGATGCCTAGGACTCAGCGGCTGCAATTCGGAAGCATCTTGTACTGCGTGCCCTCGTGAGTTGCCTTGTGCCTTCTCAGTTGTCTGCCGGCCCAGCCCTATATCGACCGCTCGAAAGCGGCTCGGGACTCATGAAGATGTGTTGTTGTGGGTTGTTGGAAGTCATTCTCTGGTCGCTCAGGAAACGCATCTGTTGAAGAGTACGCCTTCACCTGAGGGGGTGCTGGAGCTGGTGCCTGTTTGACTTTCGTCCCGTAAATCCGGGCATTGCAAGGTCTCCACCCTTGAGCTAGGCCAGCAGCCCGTCGCCAGAAATCAGCACTGGATGGATGTGCTGGAGGCATCGCTGGGTTTTCAGGGCACAAACCTACCAGAGCCGAAGGGGTCTTGGCGACAGCTTCTGCACAGGAATTCCTCAACAGTCAACAGTGGCCGCTTCCTGCCCAACCAATAAGAAGTGCGGATGCTTCTCACGGTCTGCTCCATGTTCGAAGCGAAATTAGACGGAATGGGTAGGCCAAAATTGAACATAGGTTGTTAACCTGAAAGCTCCTAAACCCAGAACTCTCGACACCCTGAACATATGCGTCTTGTGGGAGGATGGTGGCCTGCTTGCTCTCAGTGACCTAGGACTGCTTGGGAGCACACCACTGGTTCGAGTCGTGCTTCGCATGTCAACACATGCAGCAGATGACGGTATCAGATGATGTCATCGTTCAGCTGGTGGTGGTGGTGGTGGTGGTGATGGCAGTGGAAGTAGCAGAGACAGTGCCGTTGACAGCGGTGGTGGTGTAGCAGTAGTAGTAGTCCTAGTCGTCGCTACTGCTACGATTACTACGAAGACTGTTGCTACTGCTACTACGACAACAATCACCCCTACTGCTATCACGAATACGAATGACGAGTATTCACAGTCGTACTAGTATTGCAATGAGTGGTATCAAGATGACGAGGATGCGAGAGCCAAAGCTGTGAGGAGTCCTCCATGCATGGAGGCCAGTCGCCAACTCGGCACTGTGGCTTCCATCAGGCAACGCGGCGACACATCTACCATGAAGTCGGCCCCTGGACAGACACGGCGCATGGCTACGAGAGCAGGCTGGTTCTTCAACCTGCCCGAACTGGGGCTAAGGCACGGCTGGCGCATGCGGTTGAGACTTGTTTCGCAGCGATCGTGTTGAAACCTTGACGGAGGTGGCGGGGCCTCTGTACAGTAGGGAGGACTGCCTTTCTTCTGGGAAAGAGCAAAACTGCAGCAGGCCGGGCCGGGCCCCCCTCAAAGCTTCCGCCTTTAAGTGAATGAAACCGAAGCACGAGGTCGAGTGGAGCTTTGGAAGATGCAGCTGCCGTCCTGAGGGAACTTTGACTTTGAGTTTCGCCGGAGGATGGTATCTGTGTGTACATAGTTGGCGAACATGCCGCCTGAAATGTTCCATAGTCCCACGACTTGCAACCGCCGCCGTCGCATTGCTTCAAGTCGAAAATGACCTCAATGGATGCTGCTATTGTGACCAGCATGCAATGTTCCCGAGAAGCGAAAGGCGCATAGATGTAATTTGAATGACCCATGTCACTGCTTGTGTTTGAAATTGCATGCTGTAACAGGCTGGAGGATCATTCCATCATGCCGTGAGATGCATGTGGAACGCATGGTTCGTTGCACTACGCGGAGAAGGCATGTGGCACATTTCTAAGATCCGAGCCTACTTGTCGTCCTGCCTCGCAACAACACGACTGCTAATCAAGTCACTTTGCCCTTGCATTGTTCGCCCAGTCATCTGATGATGGCGGTCTCACACGTTTGCTCATGTTTCTTATGTCGGAAGTTGTGCACCGCCAGTGGCAAACTTACAGACTTTGCAATTGACGCGGCGGCCCTGAGCCTGCTGCTGACCCGGTTTGGCAAGCGCGGTGTGCCGTTGCTTTGCTTGACATGCTGCAAAATCCTGCGGCTGGCACTGTGCAAACTGGACGGCATCATGGAGTCTGAAGTTGCTCAGCAGATGGTGCTAACTGCCCAGGCCTTCGCCAACCGAGACCTCTGGATGGGTTTCCCAAGTGTGCTTGGTCGTGTACACTCAAGCTTGCTGTTCTGCACGACGTGCAAATGGGAGCCAGTTCTCGGCCGCGTTGCCCAGCGCGCGCGGGGCGAGCGGTGCGAAAAGCGGCAGCAGACTCAAAACTCCAAGCGTTAGCCGACACTTACAAAGTGACGACCCGGGCAAGTAAGGGCCGCTGCAAAAAAAACGTAATGTCGGTCCGAAGAAGAAGAAGAAGTTCACGCGTGCACCGAAGAACAAGCGCACGCAAACGACGAAATCCATTACGACAACAGCACCTCGGAATCTTCAGGCCGTTCTGACCAATGTCACTGTCTTCGCAGCGCCCTTCTTCAAGCTGATGGTTCAAGGGTTGGACTTTGACAACGACACGAGAGCAACTGCGATGCACTCATTGTCAAGCAGATGGTCAACGGCACACGGCGGCGGCGGAGTTATCAATGCTGTTTTGTTTGGTGGCGCACGCTTGGTGGCTGAAAGCAGTTCTGATATTTTTGGCCCTGCCGACAACATGTTTGGATCCCATTACACCAGTTGCATAGCGAATGAAGTCTTCGGATGCATTCTTTGCTTCAGCAAGTTCGGGGAGGCCATCTTGGAGACAAGCTGCACACCACCGCAGACACGAGACGATGATTTCATTGTTACTGATCCTGATGCTCGTTTCTGGCAAGACGCGCAGGCACACTTCGAAGTGGACGCAGCCAAATTGCAACGGTTCGTGTTCAAGCTGTGCGAACTTCGTAAAGCCAATATGGGCACCCGCCGCATCTATCGAGACGAGTGGAAATCTCTGGGCAAGCGCGTCGCATGGCTGGATCAGAATCCAAACCACATTGCTCCATTTTGGGGAAATCATGTCGCAGCTCCTCTCCCCCAGTTTGCAAAGGTGGCATGGAAGGCCCGTGGCGTTGAGACAGCTGTCAAAATCCGCAAAGAGGCACTGGCCACGAAAGCGCGCCAACCCGTCCGGAACAACTGCGTGACTTGGCTGTCAGGGCAGCATTGTTTCAGACTTGTTCACGCGATGCCATCAACGAACGGGTCTGCGTTGTTGGTCATAGCTGCATGCTGCACATGGCACGCAATGCAAGCCTTGCGTCCCTTTGCCAAGTTATGGCAAGATCCATCCGAGCTCACCCGGAAGCCACGAGACCTGACGAAACCAACCACCCCGACCTTCAAGCCGAAATGATCTTGCCGACCAGGAGATACAGGTTTGTTTCAGCGAGCTCCAACTCCATGTTGCGGTGTTTTCGTAACGTCGTAGAAGTCTTCCAGTGGCTTAGGGAGGCCTTCATTTTCAGGCTGCTAGGGTCTGGACAATGTGGTGGTTGTTTTCACGGTCTAACAGGCCAGAAGCAGCGGCTTGCTTCAATGAAGTAGGGCCAATTCCCGAGATGGATTAGTTGGTTGAGGCTTCCAAGTAAGAGTCTTTCCAGCAGCTAGACCAAAATTGGATAGCTCAGAAACGGATTTTTCTTGCACACACGGTCATCTTGTTGGCTTGTGGTGATTGCACAAGACATGCAGGAAATCGCTTTCCGGACCCCTGACGGCTAGAAATGCCATATTCAAATGACATACTTAGATGATGTACGACCGATGGTAAGATTTTGGCACATGCAAGCAAATGACCCTTTTTTGATCCTTGTTACGAACAGAAGTGGCCGATTTCAAAGAAATGAGCCGTATAAACGTCCAGAAACGGCTTCTTTCAACGTAACAGGGCCTTATCTCCAAACAGTGTCTCCCCAGTGGCCGAGGGGCGGATGTAAGGAATCATCCCCTTCAGGCGTTCGATGGGCGGACGCAGATTTTTTCTGTCGGGTAAGGCCGGTCTGCGGTGGGCTGCAAGATTACGAAACGCATCCGCCGCATCCGCAACCCAAGGTGCTAACGTCGGAAGAGTTTGGCCAGGCTATGGCATTGTGGAGGCAGCAGTGGGAGCAAGAGCAGCTGGAGCAGCGTGGCATGAAGCCGGGTCGTGATGCTTTCAATGGATTTGTTCACGCTTTCCTCGGACATCGCACTTTGGCGCGGGCTGTCATCCAGTTTGGCATCGCCTCGCGAAAGCAGCTCATCAAGGCATTGCATCATGCAGACAGATTCCGCTGCCAGGATTCGCCAGCCCACAGAGTTACGCAAACTGGGAATGAGCTCGCCCGGCTCGAGGTTTGCCTCCGGTACAACTGGAGCAGATGAAACCAGCAGGCACCAGTAACACACAAGTCTCGGGGGACGGGGTTCGATGATTGTTTGCAAATGGATTTGTTCAAACGAACACGCAGCAACTGCTACCAAAATGCCGGCGTGCGTGTGCGCGCGCGCGCGAGAACAAGGCAGCCAATGTAGCGATGTTTCCCGAAGCACTACTGTTCTGGGGTTTTAAAGTTTTTCTTCCCCAAACAGTTTACTGTAGAGGTTCTCAGTTTGTTTATTTAAAAAAAAAGCCGACATCCTGGTGACCATTGCCGGGTTCTCCCTGTCCTGTGGCTGGGTTCCTGGGCTCCCTTTGTCTCCCTTTGCTGGTGCCGTCTGCTGCATCGGAAGAGTTTTTGGAAGGATTGCGCGGTAGGCATTGGTGAGAGGCGGGGCTTCAGTGCCAGTTTGTTGAAAACACTCGTGGGAGGTAGTTGCGGGCCTGGAAGCGAATGGTAGCCCGAGAAAGGTATGATGTTCTGTCCACAATGTATGCTCCGCTTGTGATTGCATGTTTGGACCGTGCAGGCAAAGCAGCTGCGGGCACCCCGACCCCGGCAGCGCGCCGGTCACCTTCGCAAAAGCAAGCTGCGCAAAAATCACCTGAGGTGCCCTCAACCAACAGTGACACGCAAGGGATGGTAAGAGTATGTTGGCGTGGTTGGTGCTGCTTGCTTTCACCGCCAGCACAGCAGCTCGAGCGGAGGTCGGGGCATCAGTACTACTAGTGATTACCAACTCAGAGAATCAAATTGTGAATTGGCGATTTCGTCCCAACTGGATGGGCCAGCTGTTGTGCCTCCTGTGTCCATGCTTTTTACGGATTTTGTCTTGAGTGAACGACCATCCATTTTTTGATGTGTATGCTTTGCTGTCATTGTGCTCAAGCGGGTCATTTGCACCGAGCCCATTCGTCGATCACCAAGCTGGACGTTCATC